TAGTAACAACAATAATGATAGTAATAATAATAATAGTTATGATAGTAATAATAATAACAGTAATGATAGCAATGGTGATGATAATGATTGATATTAATGGCAATAAAAATGGTAATACTAATGATAATTAGTAATTTTTCGCTCCCTTTTGTTTAAAGAAGAAAAGGTTTTGTTTTATGTATGCATGTGTGTGTGTGTATTTATGTGTGTATATCTGTATATATATATATATATATATATATATATATATATATGTAAGTACGTATATGTGAATTTATATAAATATGTATATGTATATATATGTATGTATGTCAGTATGTATATCTTGAAAGTGTCCCCAGCACATGTCTTAGTGCCATGAACTACAGCACATTTACCGCTAGTAAATTTATCCGCATCCTTATCGGTGCAGCTTAATGTGTCCAGATTTTTGGCATCTATTACAGCACACAGGTTTTTTTAATATAAGGTCTTACTTGATCACGTTCATATCCAACATAGACACATTCAGGAATTTTACTCGAAGCAAAGGTCAAGAAACACAAATACGCCTTGGTCCTTCATGTTTCCGAGAATTTCGCTTTCATTCATTGTCCTCAAATCCCTGTGATTGTTCCCCTACAGATATTTGGACCAAAAGGAATAATTACTTTTACCTTGAAATCATGAATCTGCGTCAGTTTAAGCAAGTTAACCTAGGATTTGAACTGCACTTGGAGGCTACCATCTCGCAATTTCTTAACAAAATCAAAGTCACCGTCCATTTGGCCATCAAGGACCTAGATGATGAAGGGGTGAACGTTCATAAACGACTGATTTTTTATCCCGCATCTGGCAGCCAAATGCCGTGCAGTTTCGTGAGGGAGAGCAAGAGGTCGTTCACGTCCTTGAGGAGAAGGGGTAGCCGGGGGATCAGTCGTATTGGGCATCGGGCCAAGTCCTTGTCCTGAAGTGACCAAAATGTCTTAACTATTGGTAATTAACCTAACAGCAATAGCTAAGAGAGTGTGGCAGTTACATGTCCTCATGGCGGCAAGACTATAGCTTTTAATTGCTCGTGTTTCTTGTCGCAAAATGACTTTAAATAATATAGATTAAAATAAAATAGACTGAAATAAAAGTAAAACAATTAACCACCATGAGTAAAAATGAATTCGAGGCCGTTGAAAGAAAGCTTAAATAACGTGTAAAACTGCAAAAATAAAAATGCTCCAGTGATGGAAAGGTGACACA